CATTTCAGTACTAAAAGTTAGTCATTTATCTTTTATCTCTTCATCTGATATGGCTACACACCGTATTTATTTTCATTTCAAAATGAGAAACCTTGCAATATGATATGTCCTGGAAAGGGATATATTTGTTCGAAGTAGCAAAGTGATTGTTGACTACCGTAACCGGGTAGGGCAATCTAGCAGGTAACCGTAATGGACAATAGGCGTAGTCCATTTACCTCCACATCAGTCTGTATTTATGGCTGACACCAGCCAATCATATTACTGTGAGGGCGAACCCAGGTGTATGCATATTCATTACATCACAACATTAATTTGTCTTAACATCTTAAAGCAACAAAATCTATTTGAAGGAACACTTATTCAAAGAATAATAATAAACATGATCCAGTTAATTGCTTAACATAAAATCCTATATTTATTTTCTATAAATCTCAATCAACATCTGGATATTGGACGTGTTTTTCTGCCTTTAAATCTGATGAGATCAAAGGATTCCCTTGCACAAATTTGAGTACGTGTATATTTTACGGATTTCCGCGGGCCATTTTTGTCAAAGACAACCGAATTGTTTTCTTAAAGTTTATATTACGTATATATTGAACAGTGTATCTGGTTTCCGTTTACTGCTTTCAGCTTTCATATTCCCATATCAACGAAGATTTTTCTGATAATTTTGTCATAATATACGTGTTTTACGTTGATCTTTGCAAAGTCACCGTCAATGATTTTTTTTAATTCCGCGTCTACACACATGATGACGATTTTAGAATTATTGCCTGATCATCCATCAATTTTTTTTACATATGTTCATTAAGAAATTATGTTAACAATGTTTGTTCTTAAATTTGTGAAAAAATGTTACTCATGAATTGTTGATAGTTTTTATGATTAAGGATACTGACATTTGTTTGTGTTCACGATTTATATGATATTGTATGTTATTAAAAGGTTCTTGGAATTTTGTTGTAGTTTGTGGTATGTGAGTGGCGGATAAATGTTAAGCTAATTTACACAATTATTGATCATGGTACGAAGTTATGTGTTATTTGAATTTTTGGTAAATAATCAAGTGAATTTCTGAGATGAGGAATTATCATTATTACCAGGACAGTCCAAGCCTTTGACATTATTCTTCTTCAGTCGAGCACTAATGATCTTTGAACGTAATCTATCGAAAACATGAACAGCCATATCAAGTTCAAGCTTGTCCTCCAGCACTTCAAGTTATCGTGCTCCGTTCATTCTCATTCCAGTCGGTAAGAAGCAGAGTCCACCTCTCCCTCTAGTTGACATAACCATGACACAGGTAAAAGATTTCACTTAGCTTGCCTATAACGGTCATTGTATCTTGTACCAAGAGGCCTAAGCATTTGTCAATTTTGATGGAAAAAAATGTTGGGCAGTGGATGCATCCAAGAAAAGGACTTTTCTCCATCTTCGCTTGGCTATCCGCTTGGGTGTCCGTTTGGTCTTCTTGCCTTCGGTTAAGCGAGCTTTTTTAGCAAATTTACAAGCTTTCAAATTGCAATCATGATTAAGACGCCTAGTAACAGTCGAACAATGGGCATTTGTACCTTTGAGAATCGGTATTGAGCGTAGTTTCTTGCAGAAACTGGTTGGACACCGAACAGTTATTCGTCGGATCAAATTGACATATCGAACGAATGTTTTTCTCCATCAGCCGCTTCGACTTATGATCAGTGTAAATTCCAGAATTCTTGAATTTGTCAATGGCCTGATGAACTGCTTTGTTAGAAGACACTTTGTTGCAAAATCCTCCATGCAGAAAATCCTTGTTGTGTAAAATCAAAACCTGAGCTCTTTGCAGTCGTTTGATTAGGATGATGTCATATAGGATATGCAATAAGAAACATAATCTGATGCA